AAAGAAGGGTCTTAAACTGGGTTATGTTGCAAAGTAGAAATGCATCAAAGATAAGAACAGGTTCTACACCCCTCTGTAGTTGAGACAACTTTGCTTGAATTAGAAGAAGGAGATAGTTTGACACAACTCTGAGACAATACCTAACACAGAAGGGTTGGGAGTCACTGGATTTTTGTCTCTATGCTCCTCAGCTGGGTGCTTTGTGTTGTGTACACACTGCACAGCTGCAAGTGACCTCTGAGACAGAACAGGGGAAGCAGTTTTTGCCAGAAGAGTGGCAGAGATTATGAAATTTTTTAAAAGTTAAAGATATAAGTGTTAATAAGAAAAAACCATGAAGACTTGGTTACAAGTTGAACTAGGGGAATAATGGGGTGATCCCTGGTGTGAGGCTTGATTAGATCCCAGTCATTTTGGTAAAAATTCAGGAGGACTAACTTTGGGAAGAGCTAATAAACTGCATTTTCATTTTTTGGTTTTGTATTTCTTTGCCTTCCAAGTATACTGATTTGCCAGTCATTTCCACAGCTGTATAAGTTGGGGAGCACAACTTCACACTTCCATATGTGCACATACTTCATTCACTACTATGAAAGCCCCAGTACCACAACTCAGTCACTTTGCCTTCCATATTGTCTCCTTCCTCCCCTAGCTCCACCCCCTCTGGTTATCAGTATATTCTCCACCTGTCTAAGAATTATCATTGCTGTGTTTTGCGAGTTTGTTTTCTTTGGTCATTTGTATTTTGTAAATCAGTAACAATGTTCATTGACTGTCTTTCACTTTATGACTTACTTCACTTAGCATAATCACCTCATGATACATTCATTTTGTCCTAAAAGGCATGACTTTATCTTACTTATTAGATGAGTAGTATTCCATTGACTGTATATTGTATAATTTCTTTGTCCAAATATTTGTCCTTGGGCATTTAGCTTGGTCCCAGGACTTGGTTGCTGTGATTAATACTGCCATATACCTAAGAGTGCATAAATCTTAAACTTCATTTTGGATAGGCTGACTCTGTGGTTCCATAAGTGGAAATGTCCAATAGCTTGCTGAATATAGGTTATTTTGCCTCAGAAATTATCAATATATAAAAAAAGAGCTGATGCTAAGGAAGTACAGGCCACCCAGGCTTTAGATAGAGTAGGAAAAGTGAAAATTTATCAAAGTCCCATTTTTATCATTCACTTCCTCGTTGAGAGCATCTGTAATGGATCATAGAAGGATCAATGACCCCTTCCTTTGACTCACTCTTTCCCACACCTGCTCCAATTCCTTTACCCCAACCCCCACCCGAGTAATGGTACTTGCTATTTGCAAACCTTATCTTAAGCTTCCTTATAGAGGAACAATTGATATTCCTATCAAAGCTGTTTCAAACGTTAACTGATAGGATGCAAGGAAGCAAACATTCATAAATAGTTTGTGGGAATGTGCCTTTGTCTTTTCAAGTCTGATGGAGCATTGTGTTAAAGCCAGCCTGATGACTTTGGCAACAGGCATCTTAGGAGCTGCTGTGCTCTCTGGCTAACTCAGAGGTTGCTGCTACAAATACGGAAACTGAAGTGAGTAATTGGATAAAAGAAGCTAAGCATGACCATGAATTGCAGATGATCTGAGCAAAATGGTGTTTCAATAGCAACAGCTCTTTTCTATCACCACCAATTAGAATAAATGCAAGAAGGCAGCTGAGCTTGAAAAGGAAACATTTGCTAGACTCTGGCTTGATTGCGATGCTTTCTCTTGTAGCCACCAGCTAACCCAGAACTCTCGAGCAGAACCTCATCCCAGTGGACTCTTGAGCATGGTGTCTGGAAATGTTAAAACCAAGGTCAGTAATGACCTTGTTCTAATAATGTGGGCATGCTAACAAGCAAATAAACCCTATCACTTTTATTTATTTATTCATTCAATCTACAAGTATTTGCTGAATGTATTTTACGATGAGGCATGTACTCTTAACTCAGAGATGCCCTGTTTGCTACCTCATTTTATCTTTCACTAGGATGCCTGGTGGATTTTCCTTTGTGATTTTCTAAATCATAACTCTCAATGGAAATAGCATTATTTGTCCAGGAGATTTCCTTTCACCCACCTACAACTGCAAGTAACAGGATTTTTTTTTTTTTGAGTACTTTCTTTCCAGATACATTTCTAATACAAGGGAAGGATATCGTTGATTTCTATGACATTATCCCATCCATTTAAGAGGAAAATAAAGGTAGTGTGCATGTCTGGACAGCTGGTAGAAATCAGCTTGTTAGAGTTTGCACATCCAGGGGAATAATTATTGAATTCACAGATTGGGGAGAGTGAAGACAAGTGTACAAGCATAGTGCCAACCCTTTGGGGGCCACTTATCTTTTTGATATGGTTATTCTGTTTACTCAGACCAAACACAGGAAGAGGCAGCGACTTCAGAGTCACTCCCATGGGAAAGAAATGACCTGACCCTGGAAAGTAACACGGCCTCTATCTTTGGCACCTGACATACAGGCTTAGAATCTAAAAAACAGAGCCACATATTCATAGATTAAAAGAGTTTGTGGTGTCCATTGCAAAACAGTTCTGTCAAAATACTGACTCTAAGGTCAGGAAAAAGACAAAACTTCCAAGCTGACCATAGACGTGAGGCACTCAGCAGGGAAGGGGAGTGAGAGGCTGAATCAGGGGCAGGAAGAGCACAAGGGCTGTTGAGCTGGGTCACAGGACCTGTGGTGGTGGGAGAACTCAGACTAAACCTGAGCGACAATGTCCAATATTGTCCTCAAATGAACAAAATGTAAGAAAATAAATAAATTGAATTATTTAAAAAAATACTGACTTTTGGGCCCTCCCTGGTGGTGCAGTGGGTTGAAGCACAGCACTAAGAAACTAAACCACTTGAGCATGAGTTCGATCCCCACCTGCCCTGGAGGTGACCACATGGCGTGGCAGACCTCTCCTGACCCGCCCGCTGCTCCCCTCAGCAGTGTACTTCATCAGTCAACCTGTTCTGCTCCCCACTCTGTCACTGGTGAAGCCTCTCACCGCCCCTGCACCTCTGACTTGTACCCCAGTTTTGTATGCACAAATAAATAAAATCTTTAAAAAAAAATACTGACTTTTTACCTGCTCTATGACATTCTTCAAGTAAACTACATGATTAAAGACTGAACTAGTTGGGGAAAATGAAAGGAAAGTATGAGAAGGCCTTGCGAAAATGCACATGTATCTGACCAAATATACAGCGATACAGAAACGGCCCCTTGCTTAAGGGGGAATGGTTGAATTGTACATGATTATTTAGTTTTACAAATTGGTCAGAAAACTATCTGTTGTATAAACAACCTAGTATATAGCACATTGTTTTGTTCTAGAGAAGCATAAGATATACTTTTAGTATTTATGCCATGCAGTTTTTATTCCATATATATGCATATAATTTTGCTAACCAGTACATTTTTTAAATTTCCAAATTCTAAATTCTGCTGCATAAGCTAAAGCCATGAAGGGAGATGTCTTCCTCTCCACTGGAGCACACTGGCCAAGGTAAAAGCTAACATGGGTATAGGATCTGCGCACGGATAGGGCCAGGGCAGATGGTTACCCAAGAAGCAACTTCAAGAGAAACACAGGTACAAAATGCAGCTTCTAATTGTATTTAAGTAAATGCACAGAAGTGCAGGATGGAGATGCAGAACGAACCAGACAAGGGAGAAATAGCAAGGCAGCTTTGGAAAGATGATTCAATTCCCACAAATGTATTCAGTTCTCTGTGGAGTTTGCTTACCAAGCGTTATTTATAATCTGCTTCCTGTCTTCACACACAGGGTATTATTTTGAACATGGGGACACCAAATAGTTAGAGCCCAGATAACTACCTCCCGGGTCCTATGTAAGGTTAATATATGTACAAATTCTTTTTGATCTGCCAGAAAGAGATCTTTTGTAATCTAAGTAATGTAATACATTTGTATAATAATTGATCTTATTTTAAAAAATTTCCTTCAAGATTAAGAAAACATTATTTACAGAAGAAATTCCTTCCAAGATTGATCCTCCCTTTCCTTCTATCATACAATCAAATCAAATTGGATGTCATAATAGAAGTGGTGTCTCATTTAAACATTTTTCTTTCTGACTCTACTTGACATATTGGGTTATTTTCTTTATAAAAGTCTATTTGAGAGTTCCTGACTTCAGTCATTGATCCTAATAAGCTGACATTCTCTTTTGCTCTGGCCTTGCTATTACTGGAAGTAAGTGACACACAGACCTTTGTTCCAATGGCACACATTGGACTTTAAATTTGAAATTAAAAGAATAACTTTAAAAGAATAACACTCCTTTCTGAAGGTCTATCTGGAGTTGATATTACAGAATATTCTCTACATGTAGAGAAATAGTCTAAAAGATTATTTATGGCACTATTCAGTCCTTGGGTTCTCAAATTTTAAGCAGGAATTTTGCAACTTTCTTGACTGAGTTAAGTGTGTTCCTTTCAGCCCAGCAAACAGCTTTACAGAAGATCACATTTAAAATTAAGAGATGATACTGAAAATTGTAACTTTTTATTTATCCATTCAATCATTCATTGAACCTTTCTCAAAAGCCAAAAAGGCTGCGCTCTGAGAGCTCAGCATACAGAGGGATGTACAGCCGTGTCCCTGCCGCTGTAGGGGAGACAGGCAGGTATACGAACAGTGGTCTTGAGTGTGAAAAGTATAATCGCCGTATAGTTCATGTACAGCGGTGGGCCCAGAAGGGGATGATAAATGCAGGCTGAGGGGTCAGAAAAAGACTTGCCTGAGCCTTCCCAAGCAGAATTACTTGCTTTTGTTTCCTGATTTTTATGGCACCCAAGTGAAAATCTCTCTTCAAACCAATCTCTCAAGTACCAAAATATAACATTGCATTCTGGAAAGTAGGACTGATTGTAATCACTCCTTCAGTCATTGCATTTGCCACAGGTAAAGAGGAAGAACTGCTTATTGCAAATAGGCATTTTGTACCTTTGCTGAAGAATAGATGTGACCTGCTTGCAGAAATTCTCTCCATTTTGAGAAAACTCCTTTAGGTTCTTGTACACTTTATTGTACTGAAAAAGAAAAGATGCACAGAAGGATTATGAGCACTTCCAAAGATAGAACTCCCATAAATTCAGAAGGCTGCTATAATGATGACTGTCATTGTAAATGATGGTGCAGCTTGGGGAATACACACCTTTTAGATGAGTTCTTAAAGATTAAGTCTCCTCTGCTTGCATATGAAAGGAAACTGGAGAACTTTTCAAACTTAAAGCTCTCTGTTTCTCTGGGTGCCAAAGGCAGACATCAGGAGTAGGGTGCACTCAGATTCTGGCTTCCTGTCACTCCCCTCCCATTGTTCTCAGAAGGTCAAAAGTATATTCTGCATAAACATTTTGGATGTCCCCTCCTCCCCAAATCTTAGAGAACATTCCTGGACCTCCTCACAAACCCGGAACCACCAAGGCAAATGTTTCTTGGCTGAGATATGAAAATTTAAGTGAATATATTACTACTTCCTGCTATTTAACTTTAGTGATAAGAATGTTGTAATGATAAATTGATCATTATAGTTGTAACATTATAATGATGAAATGATGAGAGAACCAAACCTTACAATTTTATAAATACCTTTATAAATATATTTGTATATGAATTTACCAAAGATACCAGAATTCCAAGTAAAACTTTCAACATTTGCTTTAGAACACCACAATGTCATTCTGAGAATTATATATGTAAAGGCACACATTGATGAGAATAGAGTTTTAGTCCCCAAATGGACAGCACGAATGTCAGGTGGTTCTGCAGCATTCTGATGCAGGTCATAGAGGCTCTGGAACAATCCCAAACCACTGTCCATAGTTTCCATTGGGGAGGTGTGAGAGCAGATTATATGTTTCAAAATGAGATTCTACATGAGGGGACACAATTCTATGCAGACTGGGCATCATTCAGAGAGCCAGAGTTCATATATTTCTAGACTGTGGCTGAAAGCTATGTGGAGACAGAACAGGGAAAAGGAACTCAGGCTCACCACATGAAACCTGGGGACCAAAAGAACTTTTCAATAGTATTGGTAACACCTGTTTTAGGGGCTCTAGCCTAGCAAACAGAGGACGTAGGATAGTTCAGGAGGAGGGATCCAATCCACATACATGACCTCATCCAGGCCACAACTTCAGGGATGTCATGGAATACCGAAGATGTAGAAACACAATCCTAATGCCAAATTCTTTCATCTTTGTATGTAGTTTAAGTGTCCTCTGAATTTAACATGGGGAGTTGTGGTGGCAGACAGTAGATTTGATAGACATGCACAGGTAGCAAACAGCTTCTTGAAACTGCCTAGGACACGGGGAGAGAGAGAGAGAGAGAGAGAGAGAGAGAGAGAGTGTGTGTGTGTGTGTGTGTCAGGGTGCAAGGATCCTCCCTAAGGACCTCATTAGTTCTAAATTGCCCTTTGCAAAATCTCTAGATTGTAGGCACCAGGGCTGCACATAACTGAGGAGGATGGGGTGGAGCCATGAACTGCAAAGACAATTGTCACATCTTCTCTGAACCACAGGAAAATGGCCTAGGAGGGCCAGCTCTTCCCGTTTAACCAAACAAGTTGAAATAAGGATTTGCACCTGAAATATGATGTTTACAAAGACCGGAGCAAACAATGCATGCCATTTAAAATTCTCTGCAGAGCAAGCAAAAACATACCTGGAGTGTAGCCTCTGCCATGAACAAAATCACCCCCTTTCCTCTGAGTGTCATGGGAACAAAATCCCTATTTAGCAGCCCAGATTTCTCATTTTTTATTTCCATAAAAACAGTCTGACATCTATGAATTAAAGACATTATAAGATCTCCTTCCATTGCTTACAGCTACAATAGTGAGCATGTAAACATTGTTTCACTTTTTTTTTACTCCTCTGTTACCTAGTCATTTCCACTAACTTCCCCTCTAAGCCTTTTATTTTCTTACCATATGCTAAAGAGCAGCCGACAAACACACCTAAGTACTATAAGAAGAGGTAGGTACGTGTTTGGCAAGGCACCTGCACTATAATAAGTCACTTCTCAGCCTCTGCTCTTAGGTGTGCTATAGACCTAGATGCTGCCCAAGGAGTAGGGGAGGCTTCCTGTGGGGTGCAGTGAAGATTCTCCATCCTCTTTTCTGATTCCTGGACTCAGGAATGATGGCTGATCTCTCTAAGGTGGTCTTAGGATGGGCGCTATGTGCAAAGACAATAGAGCAGAGAGAAACGTAAGTCCTGGAAGGCACCACCTAGGTCCTCAACTCCATTTTGGACTTATTTTATGTGCCAGAGAAATACAATGATAGGTTTTCTAAAGCCATTTCTTCCTTTTTAATATATATAGTTGAACATAGTTCTAACTCATACAGAGTCTTAATTTTTTACTTTAATTTATAAGACATTTTTATATTTCACAAAATAATAACAGAAAATAAAAATGATACACATTGCTAAGTCACAGAAATAGTAATGCTTGCTTCTGCTCTCTAAACAACTATTTTTTCATTTTGTAATTTCTCTGGTTGTTCTTGAGCATTTAATCTTCCATGTGAATAGCAAGCTAAATAATTTGTTTAAATCCTCTTGGGATACTAGTTGGAATTGCATTAAATATATATTCATGTGAATTTGTATACATACACATTTGGGAAAATTGATTTTTTAATGTTATTTAGACTTCCCCTCCAAGGACATAACAAGCCTTTTCATTTTTTCAAGTCTTATTTTATGTTCAATACAATTTTATGAGATCTCTCTGCAGGTTCTGTCGCATTCTCATTTGATTTATTTAGAAATATCTCACAACTAAGCTGAGTATTATCTATGTCAAGTCCTAACTGCTTCTCTCTACAGTTTACAATAAAGCAGAAGCAAAGACCCAACAAATATCACAGGCCCTGGGCAAGGAAGAAAGGCTTGGATGCATGCTTGCAAGTGTTTTTTTTTCTGCTCTGAACATGCAAAAGCTGGGCCTCCAGCTGGGAGAAGACAAAGCAGAGAGAAGGACTGGTGGGATTTGGAGATGTAAGAGTGAGGGGCGCTGAGTCCTGACCCAGGGATCATCCCTACCAGCGCACTGTCACCTGAAGACAGCCTGGATCCCTCAGTCCTAGAGAGGAAGCAGGAGCTCACAGGCATCATGTGGGAGAATGCGGGTGTCAGGGAACCCTCATCTCTAACCAAATAGATGTGAGAAGACTGGGCTGCAGGGAGAGCAGCATTTCCTAACCTTACTGAGTCATTAAAACTCTCCAAGACATGTTTTTAAAATACTGTCTCTAGGGGAGGAATTTTAGATGGGATAGTGCCCTGAAATGTATAAACCAGTTGAGTCAAAACTCAATTACAGTTAGGAAGGAGGGGGGCAGACTGTGGCTGAGAGGAGAGAGTCTGCATTTTCCAAAAGCATTCTAATTCAACTTGGAAACAAGAATCTGCTCAAAGTACATCTTATGGCTTCAGTGGACCCTGAGCTGTTGGTTTAGGTTCAAGAAGATGATTTTCTATCATTTGATAACACTTGCTTTTTTCTCATCATGGCATAAATGAAATATTTGTATGCAGACAATATACACAAAGTTGTTCCAAGAAGAAGAAATTGACCTGTGAGTCCTGCCAAGCGAGGGCTGAAGATTTGTGTTTCAGGATTACCTGTAACTCACTCCCAGAACCCCCGTACACCCAAGCACGCACCAGTCGTGATGCACTTCAGTTAACTTAGTGACCAGTTAAGAGCAGGATGCGCTGCTTATTCCTGCACTGGGGAGAACCTTTATCTTTGATCCAGTGTGCAATATACTGGGCACTCCCTGATATATACTGAGATAAAGGTAACAGCAATTAAAAAAAAAAGGGCTTGCTAACTTTTTCTTTTTTAGCTAACTTCTTTAGAATCAACGATTCTGTATTTTTTTTAACATTTATTTTCATTTATTTATGCATACATGAACTGGGGTATAGGTCAGAGTTGTGGGGTGTGGGGGTGAGGATATTCACCAGAGACAGAGAGGGGAACAGAACAGACAGATCCACCTAAACACACTGCTGACGGAGCAGTGGGTGAGACAGGAAAGGTCTGCTGTGCCATGTAGTCTAGTTTACTGGTCAGGGACCAAACTCATGCTGCAGGGACTGGCAATAACTTGATAGCACTGAGATGTAACCTCTGTACCACCAGGGAGGCCCTGATTCTATATATTTCATCATGTACATTTTACAAACACTTGAAGACAAAAAGATAGTCTTACATAAATAACTATCAAAGCAGATCTCAAAGACCATCTCCTCTCATCCAGCAGGTGTGTGAATTTGTGTATGTGTGTGTGTCTGGGATCAGAAAATCAATCATGGGCATATCTACTTTGAGGGGACAAAAATTTCCTGACCATGGCTTTCTTTGATTCTCCTCTTCTATCCTACCTCTCTTTTCCATCCCACTCTCATGCTCCAGAGAGGCCTCTGGAACTTCTGAAGGGTTCCAGAGAGTATAATTTGGCAACCAGTAAAGTCCAATGCCCTTACTTCATAGTCGAGGCCCAATGAGCTGAGGATAATCTCATTAGTTAGGGAGAGAGTTATGTTTAAAAATGTTGAGTAAATCAACTATGGAACCCATCAGAAAGATTTATAAATGGCTAATAAGTAATAAGTTAACTCAGACAGGCATCTATCTTTAAGTGCTAGGAGAAGTACAGCTGGCTTCCTGAGGTCAGCACTAAAAGGGTTTGCTCTGGTCATAGTTATGTGGAAGATGAAATTTCAGTGTTCTTTAAAAAAAAAAAATATTTGTTTATGCATACAAGAATGGGGTATAGGCCAAAGGCGTGTGGAGTGGTGAAACGATTCACCAAGGACAGGCAGGGGCTACTGCACCATGTGGCTTTTCTCCCTGGCTAGGCATCAAACTCATGCTGCAGTGGCTAGTGATAGTTTGATGGCGCTGAAACTTTGCCCCTATGCCTCCAGGGAGGCCCAAATTTTTGGTGTCCTTTGCGTACCCATTGACCTTTCAAATTTCCACCCTCTACCAAATACCCATTCTAGGGAAGAATCTATTTATTTTTTCTTCCCTAGGAAAGAATCTTATGTACCCATATGAATTTACATTAGCATGTTGCTGCTCCCTTTGGGTCATTAATTACTAGGGGAAAACATGTTTCCTCCTCCCCCCTAATACGGTATCTTCAGTCTGCTGATGTAGTCTTTTATATCTTTCTGAATTCCTCAAAATCCCTTCACATAGTAAACTAGTATAGAGTTATTTCTCATCCTGCCACTAGGGAAATGTTTCTGCTGGTGCTTGTAAACCATCTCTATTGTATCAATTTTGTCATTGCATACAAGCTTAGCAATGTAGGCAATTGGCACATGAAATGATTAGACAGATGACCTATCAACAATGTGACCTGTACTTTATCAACTTGGGATAGCCACTCTTTCTGATTTTTCACAATTTGAATGATTAATGTGTTCAGTTATTCCACAAAAATCCATATTTTATTCTAGATTATCGATAATGTTAAATAAGCCACAACAAGCCCTTCCCCTTAATTAAATGAACATTTGCTGCCTGCCTCTCTCAGGTACTAGGCACTGTGCCACTCATTTCCTGTTAAGTCTGATTTACGAGGGATGGGATACTTCTTCAAAGCACTGTCCCTCTGAAGGATTACCTGTGCTTATTAGGCACGTGTTCGACAATTGGAGTGCCCCCAGTGGACTGTCATGAATTATGAGAAAAAGAACAAGCAAGAACATGGTCTACTGTGCCCTCTTTATAAATGAGAGAAAATGGCCAGAAAAATATGGGCTGATATGTCGCATATCTGATTAATGCACATGCAGATACCTGGCTCATAGAACATCCATGCCAGACCCAACTTGTCTTCTTAACTTTAAAGGAAACCATAGTCCCTCAGGAGTCTTGAACCACTGCATCAGCATCTTTTGTCTTCATGACTACCAACCGCCTATGACCCAAGATGGGAAAGCTGGTTGGCATCTGAAACTCAGGTTGTCACCTAAGCCAACTGGAGAAATGACCCCACAGCCCAGTAGTATTTCACTACTTGATGATGTTAAGGGTAGATGCTACCAGAGTGGAACCCAGAAGGTCAGTGCCGACAGGTCCTGATCTGAAAACTTTGAGAGCAAGTAAAAGCAAAAACTTGGTTCTAGCTTATTTTTTTATTGTTTCATAAAAAAAGTAGTACTTTTATAATTGGATTATTTCATTTGGAGATAATTTGATCCTGTCTACTTCTTTGTATATGAATGTCAAAATGATTTCCTTTGGCATAATTTTAAAAATGAAGCTTTCAAGCATTAAAGCATCAAGGCCCAGAGCCAATTCTTTTCTTTTCAAAAACAGAATTTTTTAAAAATTTCCTTTGAATAAGTTCTGACGGGCCCTCCCTGGTGGTGCAGTGGGTTAAAGCACAGAACTTTAAGAAACTAAAGCCACTTCAGCATGAACTCGATCCCAGCCTGCCCTGGAGGTGATTCCACATGGCACAGCAGACCTCTCCTGACCTGCTTGCTGCTCCCCTCAGCAGTGTACCCTATCAGTCACTCTGTCTGCTCCCTACTCTGTTTCTGGTGAATCCTCTCACTGCCCCTGCACCTCTGGCCTGTACCCCAGTTCTGTATGAATAAATAAACAAATCTTTAAAAATAAATAAGTTCTGACATTCTCAAGATTAAATATTTTAAATATTGTTGAATTATACTGAGCTTTTTAACATTTTAAAGAGTGAGTCTTAAGTATGAACCCCAATTTTTAAGTTACACTGAATGTAAACAGTATTTGTTTTTCTATAAGTTACCATAATGTTATATAAAAATATTCGTGATTTTTATTGTTCATAAAGTCACAGACATTGCAGCAGAACTAGAGTTTATTGTTTATATTCAGAATTAAAGGATATTATAAATTTCAGTAGAAACTAGTACAAATGAAGAGGTCTGTTTTTCATCCATGGGCCTGATGGGGTAGACCAGGTGGCTGAGCTAGGGCTTTGTAAATTAATTTCACTTCTGTGCAATCTGAGTGGCCATGCAATGGACCTTTTGCAGGTAGTTGACAATTTGGGTTCTTTCTGCTTCTTTTCATGAAACTACTTAAGGATTTCATTGCTTCACCCTTGTTTGTTTCATTGGTGCACCCTTGTTTATTCTGCAGCCTCATCTTAACACAACATTGTTCACAAACTGCAGCCTCATCTTAACACAACATTGTTCCCTAAGCACAAGCTGGGACAGAACCAGGAAATCAACATGAACGCTTGACCAAGATGAAACAATTGCAAATAAATAAAGACATTGTGACTTTAAAGAATTTAGAAACTGACTGAAGGGATATCCGCCTCCTAGACTTTGGTGGCACTGGGCCCACATAGATGACCTTGAAGATTGTGTACAAGGAGAGGAGTCTTTGAGGCTTTAGTTTGGTTTAAGGACAAACTCTTCAGCATGTCAGAGAGGGAGCATGACACGGAGATGTGATGATGGGATGTCTGCTTAGAAGGAAACAATTTTCCCCCATCTGGATTCAAACAAAGGCTGCTTTAGAAAAGGATGTGAGACTGTCAGTTTCTTTGTTGTTGTTACTGTTTTAGTTTAACCTGGCCTTGGTTTCCCTCTATCTTAATCTTGCCTTGATGCTGACTTTCTTCTTTAGTGACTGTTAATGCCAAGTTTCTGTTTCCATTTATTCCATTCTTGTCTCACACCATCAATTTATGCCAAAACATCATCAACACTAGGAGCTTTCCTGTTGGTGTTGGGGTTAAAGACCCAGCACTATCAAGCTCATCAGCCACTGCAGCATGAACCTCTGGCCTACACCCCAGTTCTTGTATGCATAAATAAATAAGTCTTTAAAAACAAACAAACAAACATCCTCAAAGCACCATTGGCAAGAAAGGAGTCAACATTTTACTAAGGAAGCAGATGCAAGTGTTAGAGGGCAACCCTGACGTGACATGGGTTACTTGACTGGACCCTCACACGTGTACTTGAAAGGAACTTATAGTAAGACTCAACTGTAGGCACACACAAAAAAATGGTTACCTCATAACTGGGGTCTCTCTTTTTTTGGTTCAAAAGGGTTTATTTACTAAAAAAAAAAAAGGAAAATAAAGAAATAAATAACTCAGGAAAAGGCAGAGACAAAATTCAGTTCTGCTGAATTGAAACTCCAATAGCACCCTGAAAAGCAGTGGGAAAAAATGACCCCCATAGCCCACATATCTGGTTTTATACCCAACCCGGCAGCTTAACTCCACCTTCAGTTCCTAGCAATGTTCCCTTCTGTGGCAGTGACATTATGAGATTTATAGTCCTTCTCTTAGATCTCTTTGGTCTGGGGTGGCAGTAGGGTCCATAAAACCTCTCTGTGGTTTGTTCAACACAACACAAGGGGGAACAAACAACAAATCAGCAAACAATGAAAGACTTCAAAAAAGTGATATGTGTTTACCAATGGAGAGGACACTGGGATGGCAGAAAAGCAAGGAAGTTTCTTTTAAAAGCTATATACTACTGAACTGTTGAAATCTGTTTTCACATTAGATACATTGCTTTTGTATTTAGAGACGTAAAATGGGCAAAGACTGTTACTATCTTGTCATTTATTAGTATTACTAGTCGTTGTGACTTTATCTTATTTAGTGGGTCTGATTCATGAACCAGTTTTGTGAAATAGCACAGTTGCACCAGCTTTAAACCCATGTGTTCCTCATTCACAAACACAAATGAAAGCAGTAGTCCTCTGTTGATCTTTCTCTTTAAAACTTTATTGGAGCTCCACTTATCTAGATTTCTACAGTTTTTCTGTTTTGCTTGTTTTTAGTGAGAGAATGAATGTAATCTTTTATTTTTGATGCCACCTATTTAAGCATGGTTTATTGGGATAACTTACTGACAATCTTTGGTTACTTTCCTCCAAATTAAGCATTCTTCCCTCCCTCCACCCCTTATTGAAATTGCTTCTTGTTTTCTAAATTACATGTCTGATACTTATGCTAACAACCTCATGGTGCCCTTGGACTTTTGACTAATCTTCTGTATTTGGTGAGGTTGCTAGGACTAAAACAAACACATTGGTAAATGTGTCTGAGAACCACCACAGACTGGCTAGCGTGGGGAGTCTGTCCTTCCCTCTGCCTGACTTGCAATTCTTGACTCTAAATGTTATTAAAAAATATGCAAACACCTTCCACCCTAACTTCATCCTCAGAGTCCAAAGTTGCCTGCAAACATTCTGGCTGTTTCTGTATTATTCTACCCACGATGTTGGCGCCACTGGTGTGTCTTAAGGGTTTCCAAAGCCACTGGGCTTGTGTAACTACAATGCCCACTCAAAGGCTTTCCAAGAAAATGAGAATAATAGATGACAATTACCTGCCTTGTCATTTACTAGAAAGTTCTATTTCAAATTGAATCAAACAAAAACCACAACACTTTTATACCACAGCCAACATCCAAACATGTCTGGCTGCTGAGCGTCTCAAGTTTCTTAAGTGAAAATCCATTAATAAATAAATTGACCCCTCAGCCACTCACACACACACATGCCCACACCACACCCAAATACTCACAGAACAATGCATCAGAGGGTCCCTCATGCTGAAATGCTTCTTGCTTCTGTTCTTTTCCTTACACTGCAGCATTCAGCCCTCTGGACGCTGCACTCAAGGTGGGGTGTGTCCTGGACTTCCGGGATTCAAAGGGACTAGAGGACGTCAGTATTAGTCAAACACCCCCTGGAGGAAGTCCCAGCCCCAGACTTTCATCCAGTTCCTTTCCTGAAAAAGCAAAGAATCGCTCCTCCTCAAAAGAAGTGGGAGAAAATTTTTGTTAATACTTAGAGGTCAGAATACTGAGTCCTGAACTGTGTGACCTTGAGAGAAAGCCCAGAGGCTACGAAATGTCCTTGACAGTTCTGGAGCCCCAGCGGATGGGAGAGGAATGCCTACTCTCCTAGCTTGTTGTGTTAATCACATTTATTTTCAGTGTTTCCCGCTGCTCTGATTTGCAGGGGCCTCTCCATCTGGGTGGAGGGAGAGCCCCTTCCAGGATTAGCTAATTCCCAATTTATCTGTGAGCACAAATTTAACATGCAAACTAGACAAATCAGAGTCTAGACCACAAACACCTCTTTTAGAAAACACACACCAAGTTCATGTTCCCTCAAATCTAGTCACTCCAGGACCAGATGCCAAGCAATTAGGAGGACACCTATGTAAACTCTGACATAGTGGAAATGACCATAACAGGTTCTCAGGGAACAAGACACCCATTAACCAGTTCTAGAGCCTCAGTCAGCCCAACCCTCACTCCTGGCCAAACAGACTAAGCCTCTAAGCTATTAAGAAGGACATTTTAAAAATATGGTCGACCTGGAGGCCCTCCCTGGTGGCGCAGCGGGTTAAAGCACAACACTAAGAAGCTTAAGCTATTTCTGCATGTGTTTGATTCCCGCCTGCCCCAGAGGTGACCACATGGCGTGGCAGACCTCTCCTGACCCGCCCGCTGCTCCCCCCAGCAGTGTACTTTGTGGATCTGCCTTCTGCTCCCCACTCTGTCCCCCCACTCTGTCCCTGGTGAATCCTCTCACCCTCCGCATCTCTGACCTGTACCCCAGTTCTGTATGCATAAATAAATAAATCTTTAAAAAAAAAAGTATGGTCCACATTATTTTTGAAAAGTCACCCAAAATGATAGGTATAACTAGAAATCTGGCATTGCTAACTTTTAACTGCTTTCTTTGTAGCTGTGTTCCCAACTGTGGATGCTTAGACTTCCATCCTATTGCCCTATTGCCCCAGGGCAGCCATGGTTGGGCTGTGGTGGCTGGGCTCTGACCAGCAGGCCCCAGAGAACTCATCAGCACAGCCTAAGAAGAACATTCCAGAGACTCCCAGGTGGCTCAACCTCAATTCATCTGTTCATGGTGGGAAAATGCCTAAGTTTCTAAAAACAATGAAGAGCCTGGGGAATCTGAGAGATAAACACTTGCCTGACAATCAGAGTGGAAGAAAGTCAGGGTCTTTCACCAGGAGTCATCACTCACACAATATTGTCCACTTAACGTCTCCAAATGAAGGTTATCACTGAGCGGCAGGTGTGACGGGGCTTACATTAGACCAGGCAACTCAAAACACTGAAAGAGTGTGGACAGGCTATAAATTGAGGTTAACAATATGTCACTCGGATTCCCTCCGGAGAGCTTCCCTCCCTTCAGAGGTTGTAGATAAAACTTGACTGGAGCTTTGACTTCTGGCAGCTCAGCTTCTTCCCTGTAGTTCTTGCTCTTCTTGTCTCAATTCAGTCCAAACTCAGTTAAAATGGGGAGAGATTCACCTCTCTGGAAAGTTTCACAAAAAGCAAAAACAAAACACCATTTACCAGGTTTCCAGTGATTTCTGGGGCCTATTGAAGATCAATCAGACATTTTTACAATCATACTCATGCATGTCCCACCCAAAAGGCTGACTGGCTTTCTGTCATCTGTTTAATTAACATAGCTCCATCTTGCTAAAGTCCCTCTCACAGACTAAGGAAAGTGGAGTGGGGTATTCTGGCTGAATCTAGACTGAGATTTCAACCTGGCTATTTGTTGAGCTTCTCAGAAGGATTCTTGAATCTGCAAAAATCTTTTATTTGGAAGGTCAGACAGAAGGTTATCTTCTGCCTCAGTTGCCTCCCATTACAATAGTGTTGTGCAATAAACACAAAACCTAGAAATTTCAAAAGACATAGACTATTCACAAGTATGTCGTTTAGCTGGATGGTTCCTCTGGTCTCCTTGGCCTCACTCATTAAAGCAGGTCATCACAGGGCTCTGCTTATCTAGTTGGGTGTGGCAGGACAGTTCTAGTGGGATCCACTGGGCCCAGGGCTGGCTATGGGCTGAGGTAATTTTTCATCAGCCAATAGTCAAACCCGAGCTGTTCTCAGGGCCTGGTGAGGAGAGTGAGTAAAATCGCTCAAGGTCTCTTGAGGTGCAGCTTGAATCAGACACACAGTCACTTCAGCCACATTCAGTAGACTATAGTTGGTTTTAGACCAGCCCAGATTAAAAGGGGCTAGGGGTAGATTCTGCTCCTCATTGGAAGGACCTGAATGTCTCACTGGAAAGGACTTGGATACAGAAAGGGGCAGAGAGTTGAGATTAGTTATAACATTCAGTCCATTATAATGTTGGTCAATGTTTGCTCTGGAGTGACCAGAAAGATAAAACAGAAAGGACACAGCAGGGGGTGGCTGATAAATATTTTCCTCACTGGTGACCTTTATTTTTTCAATTCAGCCTCAGGGAACAAGTCTGGAACTTCAGCAGAGATTGCGATCAGGGAGAGAAATATGAAGAGTTCAATTCATCAGTGCTCCAAATTTGGAGATGGGGCTGTTCTTCCCTCTAGCCAACCCCCCAACCCCCACTATCACCCCTCCCCTCACCCTACCACCACACACATACTCTTATGCTGCTAAAGAGCACAGCAAGGCACCTGCCGTTGGATTTGGGGTTGAGGGGAGCAATTTCTTCCAGGTTTCTCCGGCACTGAGACTGTGACTACTGAGGCATCTTGTCTGGAGGTCAGAGCAGGCCACTTTGAGTAAGTTTGCCCTCATGCATGTGAAATCCCCAGCACCCTGCCTTCCAGGAATAGCCCAGGGAAGCTTTGGGAGAAAGAAGCTGAGTTCTGTGTGAGCAAGAAGCGGGAAAGCCTTGCGACTTTGGATTTAGTATTAACATGGCTTCATTGGTGTCTCCAGGTAGATGTGAACGATATATAGTGAAGTATCTTAAAGAGGGTCTAAAAATATATGCTGCACAAGGCATCCTTTTGAGTTCTCTGTCTTCAGGCTTATCTCTAGACATCTGTACTCCTCTGGCTTATTTTCAGACAGGCTCATTGACTGTTTCACCTCTCAAATCCTAACCTTCCTGCCGCTTTCCTGTCAATGCTCAGCATTACTTTCTGGGTACTGAATCTCTGCAGAAAGAAAACCTGGTTGGGACTTTCTTGACCTGGAAAACACCCCACTGCACCCCACCCGCCCTGTTGCAGAGGCATCTCCATGAAATGGGGAGGAGCACTGCAGTGCAGTGAACAGGCCCTATTCTCCCCTCCCCACTTACATGCAGCATCTTGACTACAAGGCCCAGTATGCCATGTAGAATTCTGCACAGGGGAGCTTCTTGGGGGAGGGGCAGAGCTGGATGGAGTATGTAACATGGCAGGCAGCCTGCTCTCTAGTTACTCACACCCTGGAACCAATAGGAAGGGAACTTTGAAGACACATGTGGAGGAGGGACATGTGGAGACACTTGAAAGAGACATGTAGGTGAGAGGCACTTGGGGATGCTGACAATGGTGGCCATTATCTTGATGTGGTAGCTCCTTTCTTCCCAGCTCTCTAACACCTGCCCTAGCTCCTTTTTCTGTTCTCCACCAGATGTCACCTTAGACTTATGACAAGTTTTTGGGCCTTAGTGGCCCTACTTTGGGTGGACCCTGTTTTACTAGGTATTTGTCTATAAGTGGAAGGGGAACTTGTGAATTTTATTGGGAAACTATTTTTAGGAATAGCCTTTCTTCTCTTCCCTCTCTATGCACACTAGTCTATTAAAGATCTTTCATACTAAGAGTCCTCTTCCTTTATCTTTATACAGCCGATGGCAGGACCCTATTTTAGAGCATGCATCTCTTCAGTTGGGGTCCTTGGGTGTTCCTTGGTCAAGCACTAAAATGTACATTATAACATTCTTCTGCCTGGAAAGTCAGTGTGTCATTCTTCCCACTGTCTCTATCCATTGCACACTTTTTTTTTTTTTGATTCATTTAATCCATTGTGTTGAAAGTATTCATTTTATGGTTTAACTTGCCACAACACACAAACCCTGTGAGCTCCTTGTATCAACATACCTGGAGCTAAGTAAATGATCAATATATGATTGTTTTCATTTGATTGCATTTAATACCGAGAAAATGATCACTTTAGCTAGGTCCTCCCTACTGACAAGACCAGGGGTGTCAGGAAGCAGAGTTCAAAACCCGGAGACTGAAGATAAATGCGACCTTCTGGCAGGAACTTTAAAGTGGGAAATGACTCAAATGCACTTGGGAGTGAGTCCCTGACACTCTGACAAAAAATGGCCTTGACAAGCCGGAAACTGAGAACGGATCAGAAGCATCTCAAGGGGCCACTTAGAGAACTTTCTTGGAGATTTGTTGGTTACAAAGATATAAACAGATGAGATAAGGAGAGTCTTGGGACCAAGGGTAAAGTCAAAGAGTAGCCTAATGCTAAGAATAAATTTGGGAAAACTGGAATCTAAAATGAGCAGAGTTCTGCAGTTTGCCAAGAACATTTAAGAGAATATTCACTATATTCACAGAAGGGGACTATAAAAAGATAGCACCGCAGCATGGGGCAGCTGGCCTGGATTCTGGATGCCAGAGTGAGCAGATGCTGGGCCAGGCTGCCGGGTTAGATTTCCAGGCGAGTGCTGGTCTCAGGTGCATCATATCTTCAAAGTATTCTCCACGCAGGCCAGCTGCTACCTGGGTGACAGGGCTGATTCATCTTCCAGGGGCCACTCCTGAGTCCTCGACCAAGCTAGTCCCTTGAGCTTTCAACTCCTAGTCACCAATTCCACTCTCTACTG